TGATTTCTGATTTTATTTCATTTTGTTCCGAGTACCTATTCAGTTCAATTTCAGATTTATTTTTTATTGTCTTTTTTTAATTTGTGGAGACTTGTTTTATGGCCCAGGGTGTGCGCTCCCTCTTGGTGAATCATGGCATGTGTGTTGGAAAGGAAGTAAATTCTGCCGTGACTGATGTTTGTACAAATCAGCCTAGTGTGTCAGCACTGCTCAGACGGTCTGTAAGTGAGCTCTGTGGCACCGTACAGCACCCAGCATACCCGCTTTAGACAGAATAGGGCTGTTGTCCTCACTCATGGTTTTGGAGGTTCCAGACTGTAGTTTTAGCACGTTAGGAAGAGTATGGCAGAGCAAACCTGTCACCTCACCTTATGGTGGAGAAAGCTAGGTCACACAGCCCTTCGAGGACAGCCCCCAGTGACCCGACGCCCTCCATTAGTCTCTTTATTTGATGTGAGTTCTGTCATATAGCCTCATGCGCTTACTGTCGGCCCTGTGTGTCTTTCCATCCGCTTACCTCCCACTCTGTGCCTTTATAGACCAACTAGGTTTCCTCCAGACAGAAGCCTGGAGTCCTTGAGTCTTGTGTGGGCAGGGAGTGGGCAGAGTTGCCCATTCTGATAATGTGTGCCATTTAATTGCAGTGTTTGCTGGTATTAACATTTGGTATAATTAGTGATAATTAGTATATTGGTTGGATTTATGTCTACTGGTTTAGTCACCCCCATACTTTAGTTTTCACTAGCAGAGAACGATCATTTCATTGAATTCCATCCTTTTATAATTCTTTGTAGTTGTTTTCTCTGCATCCCATGATAGAGAATGTCTTAAGAGGAAATAGTAAGGACCCATGTATCCGAAGGATAGAGGCACACGGTGCATATGAAGTGGGGAAAGCGGAAATGCCGTCATTAAGTCTCCATCCTGGGTTGATGTTGGACTCCTGGCCAGCTCCTGCCTCAGCCTCCCAGGAAGCTGAAGTAAGGAGCCCTTGCCTGTGTGCCAGTAGACCTCTCTCCTCACTTTGCCTTGTCAGCGGCTTTGAGCACATAGTTGTTCTGTGCTTTAGTTTCCCTGGTGTCATGAAAATAAAACAGTGGGACGAAAATGTCCCCCCAGGGGACCGTCTCCAACACTTGTGATTTGAAGACTTTGATTGGAGTGACGTTTATCTGAAAGGTGTGTTCACACTTTGTTTCTCACTTAGCCATCACCTTCTGTCAGGAGCAGCTTTTTGGTGATGCTCCTGTGCATTCAACCCCTAAGTTTAGATACCTCAGTATAGATATGATAGTAAAAGCATGTCATACTGGTGGCTTTTTCCTGTTACTGCTGTGGGACCCTTGGTCCCTCAACTATCTATCTGATCATGACCATAAAACATTAAGCTGTGGGAAGAATAAAAACAAGGATGTCAAGGGACGCTCTAGTGTGTCGTCAGCCTTGTGGACTAGTGTGATAGGGTACCTGAGTTCCTCTTACCTGCAGTGTTGCCAGCTTACTTAAAAATCAGAGCTCTCTTTGGCTTTTTCAGTCATATTGGGCAGAGACTGTTGACTTTGAGATCCTATTAACATAACCAGTCTCTAGAAAGAAATTGGATTATGATCTCAAAAAGGGATGGATGAATCCTCTAAGCCCACTGGCTTAAGTCTAGAGCCTCACTACTTGTGAGAAGTATCAGATTTTCTTGAGGGAGTTTCCAGGTCTGGTAAGAGTTTAGAAAGGATCTTTGTTCTGTGATTGTGGTCCTGAAGCATTCAGTAATAACCCAGGTGTCAGCAGTCCGAGCACATCTTCATCAGTCCGAAGAACGGCTCATTTGGGGCCTGTAGACGATGGGAAGAGTTCGTAGATTATGACTAACGGAAGCTAGTATTTTGTCTCTGGGCCCTCATCTACTTCTGTTTAGCTTGAATGGGTTGAGTTTGGGATCCCATAGCTTGACTGTGAAGCAACTCTGGGATAAAAACTAGTAGATTTTTAGTTTGTCCTGAATCTGCCCTATTAGAGGGACCTCTACTGTTTGCAAGAGGGAAGATAGCCAGCATTCATCTAGAGGCTCTGAGAAGGGAGAGAGTCCTCTCTGTCCCAACTACACCAGACTCACTTATTCGTTCTCCATGTTCATGTCTTTGTTTTGGTTAAAGGAGTTAGTCCAGAACTCCTAAGCTATTAGTCACTAAACATTGTTGGGCCTGCTGGGAGCTCCCTGTCTAAAAGGAGAAGCAGACATGTCCGTAAATAACAGACTAACTTTGTAGTGTGGATGAACATGGAGCTCTTACCAAGGGTTCTGAGATGTTGTGGAGGAGCAGTGTCTTTGAGCCGAGTTGAGGACTGGGTGGCATGGCTTTTGTTTGCTTTTCATTTCTAAGGTGAGGCTCTCCTTGCCCTCCGTCCTGCTCCCTGCCCACTGTGAACAGTTCTGACTGTACATTATTGACTTGGTATGTTTCTAAGAGGGCATGAGCTTCTTACCTAGCTGTAACCTGCAGGAAATGCATAGGGTTCAGTGCAGCCCTGCAGCCTTCCTAAAACAACCTATTAGCTGCATTATAAAGCAGTAGTTCCAGCGGGAAAACTGAGTCTAAGTCCTGGCTCTGTCTCCTTGAAGGTAAAACAGCTTCTCTGCCCCAGAACCTAAGAAGTCTGAAATCCGAGAAGGTAAGGTGTTGACTGCAGTCCTGAAAGAGGCTCACTTGCTAAGCAGCTGGCTAAATGATAGGGGGGTTATGGAGCAGACCCTGAAGTGCTCAGACTAAGTAGCATCCTGTCTACACACACTAGCGGCTGAGAAAGACTGTTCCTTAGACATCCTTACATCTCCTAAATGAGGCAGCAGGTTTACTAAGGTAGCAGACTACATACAGCAACAGCAGAGTCACCTCAGCTCATGGAAACACTGTTGTTTTGATTGTTCAGATTTGATTAGAATTTCCACTTCATTGCTTTTTGGATGGAAATACAATTCTGAAAGGAAATCTAAAACACTAGCCCTTTTGTTTGGTTTTTCAAGACAGAGTTTCTCTGTGTAGCCCAGGCTATCCTGGAACTTGCCCTGTAGACCAGGCTGGCCTCGAACTCACAGAGATCTGCCTGCCTCTGCCTCCTGAGTGCTGGGATTAAAGGCGTACGCTACCACTGGCTTTTTAAAGTGTGAGTTATTTTCTCTTTCTCCACATTCCATTTTTAAAATGGAGTTAAGTTTTTGAGAGTAAGATTTGCCTCTGAGTACTGTGTTTTGATTCATAAGGTGGTGGTGTCGTGCTTGTAGCAGCCTCCTCTGTATCCTCCGTGGGTCATGGATGCTCTGTAACAGACAGATTAGTTCATAGGTTTTCCTTTCCTCTGGGCAGGTCCTCGCTGCTGCTGTTGCCAACTCCCTAGTCTTCCACAGTGATGGAGCTGTCACTGTGCCCAGGCTCTCTTGCCTATGGCCATTGCTTTTGAGAAATACCAATTAATAGGAAGGTTTGTGGTACATGTTAGAGTCTGGATTCTAGGATGTTTTCAGTTACTTTTTTGAAAAATACTCAGAGCTTTCTACCTTCTTTCATCCATCTATATACTATGCTTTCTTCACAGTGGTTTCTTTCTTGTTTTCTTTCTTCTTCTAATTTTAGATAGTTCCTGGAGCCCATAATTGCTCTTGGAAGCAGATGTGTTGTGTTTATCGTGTGCCATATCGTGTGCTTCCCGTCCTCGCTGTCTTGGTGCCCACTGTTTGGCAGGCACAGGACTTTGTGGGAAATTGGAGAGAGGAGGGAGGAGTTACTGCCCTGTCTTAAACAGCACTTGCTACGCTATGAACCCTCTTTTCTTAAAATTCACTCCTTAGGTGTTTCCCTTCCTCTGTGTTTCGGCCAATGTCACGTCTCACAGAAGACTTCCAATGTGTTAGATAGGACTGTACAGCCAGTCCTGTAGCTCAGTGAGTCTTCACACTCTAATTCTTATCATTTTAAATTTGTCAGTTTTAATTGACACAGAAGAATGAAGAAATGAAACTAAGTTACAAATCATTATGCTGTCTGCTTTTCAAAGCTCCTTTAGAAAGAAGAGAAGTAAATAACTGCAGAAGGTTTCCCTCGGTCTCCCACCACCGATGAGAACAGTGTGGAAGGGAGCGAAGAATGGTTACAGTTAGGGGGTAGAGATGCTGAGACAGATGCTGCGACCCAGAGGTCGACAGCCACCTTCAGTGCCTCACGTGGATTTATTTATCCACCTTGTATCTTGAATCCGTTTGAGCTTGAGTGATAGGACCTCTCAGTTGACAGACCACAGTGACCTCCATCACTGAGTTTCTGCCACCCCACCTCACCAGCCCCCATAGATGCTATGACCTTGGGCCAGCAGTAAGGCCATTGCCTCAGATAACTTAAATTCAAGGTGGTCCTCACTATCTTGTATCTAGACTTGGTGAGAAAAACGGAAAAAAAAATGCTCCCTAATTTTGCACATTCCTAGAAGCTAGGCTTCTGGGTACACGGAAGACATTTCACCCAAATGATCCCTGCAGCCTCCGCTGCTCCCTCTCCTCTTTGTCTCCTGTATTTAAAATGGCTCTGTGATGCCGTGAGAAGTAAGTAATGCAGATGGCTTTTGCTTATGTGATATCGGTTGCTAGGAATTGAGAAACAGCTTTTCACAGTTGAAATCACTGTTTTCAAGATGATTATGGCTGCAGCTAACTGCGTGTGAATAATAATGATAACGGTAATGACATGAGGATGCGCCGTGCACTTGTGTCAGCTCTGTGAAGTGTGGGTACCATCGTTACCATCGTTTTGTGGATGAAGATGCCAGAGAGGTTAATAGCATTGCTGTTTGCCTGGTGAAGGAAGTAGCAGAGCTGGGATTTGAACTTACACTGTCTGGCTCCAGAGCCCACACACTTAGCTACACTCTCGTCCTGGAAAGACTAAGAGAAGGCAGGCTGGGAAGAAATGACCCCAGACTGTGGCAGGTACAGTCATTCCAGTTCTGCTCTGCAGGCATTCTGAGAGGAGCTTCACAAAGTGCGTTGGAATTACGATTGAGACCAGACCGGATTATTGCATGAAGCGGCACCTAAGCGACATGTTGACTTACGGCTGCACGAGGCTGGAGATTGGGGTGCAGAGTGTCTATGAAGACGTGGCCAGGGATACCAACAGGTGAGATGGTGGCAGGTGGCCAGCACAGGCCTTCTCTGTCCCACTGGCTTCTCTCTGTCCGTACTCACCCTTCTTCCTTGAGCCCAGTCCCAGAGAAAAGCAGCCTAGAGGAACGGCAGGCCCAGGACTTTGTCCTTTCAGTAACAGAGATCTGTTGGGTACTTCTAAGCACAGGGAAAACCTGGTGGGTATTGTACCTACAAAAGAGGAACCTGAGCAGAGCAGTCATGTAGGGAAAGTCTCACACAGGAAGGCTGCTTGGAGAGTGTGGTAGTCACAGGCTGTGCTAGGGAGTCCCCGTGGAGATGGTCAGGGAAGCTTCCTAAAGAAATGACATCTAAACTGAGGCTAAAAAGAGACTAGAGTTAATGGCGTGCCCTGGAGGAAAGCTGTTTGAGGATGGAAGCACATGGTAAGCAGAGGCCTGGGTTAGGAGGCCCAGGAATCAGTCCCAAGAGCCTGGCTTTAATCAGGAAGCAGGCTGGGAGCTAAGACAGGAGCATGCCTGAGTAAGAGCCCTCCAATATGGGCGATGGTTTAAAGGGGCCTAAAGGGAGACAGACTCGGCCCATAGCTGTTGGAGTATTTTAAGCAGGAAACCCTGGAGTCCTGGAAAGCAGTGGGTGCTGCTTGGTGACTGCTGGGAGGGAAGTCCAGGAACCTTGGAAGGAAGAAGTTTCACTTTGGATACACTAAATGTTACATGCTTTAGAGCAGGGCTAGGTGGGACCACCACTTTCCATGACATCACTGTCCCATGAGACAGGACAGCCGAGGAAATGAATATTTCTTTGTAATTTAATTTTTATAGCCACATACACATAGTCGTGACCATATTGTACAGAAACTTTGAAGTAGAATAATTGAGTGCAGAACTCAGAAGAAAGTCCGAGCTTCATCCCAGAAGTTTGGTCGTCACTAGTGAAAACTAATTAGAAATAAGAGTGGGGCCTTGGGCATAAGTGGGGATCCAAAGGGAGTCCGATAGAGCCATGGCTTCTGAGACCCTTCTGTGCTAAGTGGGAGCATCATGGTGAAGGAATTGTCACAGGCTTCACTGGTTAGTCACCCCAGCTGTCATCCAAGCCGATGCCTGCTTGGATGTGGCAGGAAAGGAACGCTGAGAGGCTTGATCCAGCCCTGTGCCAGCAAAACCTTCCATGACAGACCCTGGAACATACTGGGGATCTGCTTCGGATTGTCGTTCCTTCCTCCTCTACCAGTATTTCCTAACCCTAAGTGAAATGACATCTCAAGTCAAAGCTCCTTCATGGTTTGGTTTGTTGTGGTTGTTGCCCAGTGTGGCTCCAAACCTGGTCTGTAGCCAAGGACCATCTTGAAGCCTCCTGCTTCCACCTCCCAAGTGCCAGGACTCTAAGTGGGTAGCCGCCCTGCCTGGCTTCTGTATGGCCCTTATTTAACGCCGATGCTGTAGTAATAAACTGATTTCACAGATGGTGCTGAGCCGTGTCATCTGGTACGTAGCGGTCCTTATTTCCCAGCCTTTACTTCCAGGCCTTTGAGCAGGTGCATGAGAGGTTTCTGAACAGTGTCTTGGAAGCACAGTGGTTTTCCTCCAGCATCCCTGGAGCTGTGTAAGAGTGACTTCTGGGGTTCTGTTCCCAACCAGGTGACTCAGTCTCATGGATCATTTCCCTCTTCCTTCACCACCTGCCACCCACCCTACTCCACCCCCCACCCCACCCCCTACCCCCGTTAACTTGATCGTCCGTTTATTTGTGTAACAGGTAATATGTTTTCTCCCCAGGGGCCACACTGTGAAGGCGACATGTGAATCATTCCACCTGGCCAAAGACTGTGGTTTCAAAGTGGTGGCACACATGATGCCTGACCTGCCGAACGTGGGGCTGGAAAGAGACATCGAGCAGTTCATAGTGAGTGTGCCCTGAGCCGGCACAGCCAGATCGCTTCTGCGAGCTTTCGTTCCTCTCTGTTCTTGCTTCTTTACGTTTGTGTTTTCTATTCTTAAAGCTCTAAGACCTGTTCCAAAATATTAGAAACACAATAAAGAAGGGTCACCCACCTCCCCGATGTCAGACAGAAACTGTATTTTAATATAGTCTTGTCAAGCTTGGGGCTGGAGAGATGGCTCAGTGGTTAGAGCACTGACTACTCTTCCAGAGGACCTGGGTTCTATTCCCAGCACCCACATGGTAGCTCATAACCATCTGAAACTCCATTTCCAGGGATCCAACACCTTCTGGCCTCCCTGGGCACTAGGCACACATGTCGACAAACACTTTTACACATTTTCTTTTTTAACTATAAAGTGCTTGGGCTTTGAGGAACTGAGGTTGTTTATGCATATGTAACACAGGCACACTCACATTTACATGTAGATGAGGGAGGTTTTTCTTGATGTAGCTTTTTTTTTTTACTTAATATTAAAACAAGCATTTACGGTATCACAAGAAGTGACATTTCCACGTGGTGGCAGGTGGCATGGGTAAGGCACAGGGCCCGTCAGTCAGATGCTGGCTTTTCTGTTCTCATCCATTGTGGCCAGCCAGAATCCTATAGTCCCATGACCCCAGAGGGGGGGAAAAAAACCTTCTCAGCCGGCACAGGGAGTAGACAAGTCCCTCTGTGTGCAGACGTGGATCCATTGTCTCTTTTTACTCCATGTCTGTCCACTCTGCCTGGTTCCTGGGCCTTTTGATAGGTGAGCACATTTATGGGACTGTGGTGTGATGAGCTGGCCTTCATTAGCCTCTTAACGTGCGGTTTCTCCCCTTTCAACTTGTGTGCCAGCCTTCATCTGTTTCCTGTCTTCAAGTCATGGTACCATCCCACATGCCCCTCATCTCCTTTCTTGTTCTTTGTTTACACTTCTTTAAACATATTTCATCTTGCCTTGTGATTTTAGAGGAGAAAGAGAGAAACCCATGTTTTAACTCTCCGTGTGTAATCATGGGTCCAGGACCAGTTCAGTCTAGCTTCATCCTTACAAAAGGAACATAGCAGCCCATGTGTCTCCTGGAACCAGAACTTCTCAGACATCATGTGCTCAGTGTAGATTCGAGTTAGGCAGAGAAGGGCTTGCCTGCTTGTTTTTTTGTGAGTGACTAAAATGTTGATTGAAGACTCGATGACTCTGTAAAATATAAATGTTACAAAGGAAATCACACAATTACGAAAGAATGTCTCTAAGACCAAATGGTGCAACAAGAATACAGCATTCAAGAAGGTGACAGTCAATGAAATCCAAAACCTACAGTCACATTTGCTTGAAAAGCAACTTAAACAGTGCAAAGTGTGCAAGGATAGTGTAGCTGGAGATTTAAAGCACATTTTAAAGTTCCCTGAGCGAGAGCACTGCCGGCTGGGTAGATCCTGATAGAGGGGCAGGGGTGGGAAGGACGGGGCCCTGTCCGATTCAGTGATGCACAGTCAAGATTAGAGGCAGCGCCATGTGGAGTCCTAGAAAGGACAAAGCCTGGTGTCTCCCTGCTGCCTCCCAGGTAAAGGAGCAGTCGGCAGGACTGTGCCGAAGTGGATGAGCCAGGAGAGTTGCTCAGTGTCCAGATAGCAAATGGACTGTGTAGCCAGTTAGCCTGAGAACAAAAGTGTGGCATCCTGGGATCAGCAACTTTTTCTGTAAGGGGCCCTAGTGTAAACATTGTAAAGATTTCTTTGTTTTCCTTTGTTTGCATTGTAGGCTTTGATGAGACTTACTTAAAATCTTTTTCCATACCAGGTGGTGGTGGTGAACGCCTTTAATCCCAGCACTCGGGAGGCAGAGGCAGGCAGATCTCTGTGAGTTTGAGGCCAGCCTGGTCTACAGAGTGAGATCCAGGAAAGGTGCAAAGCTACACAGAGAAACCCTGTCTTGAAGGGGAAAAAAAATATTTTTCCACAATTTTTCAGAAGTTTAAACAGTCATGTATACTGTTAAAAGATGTTGTCTGGAAGGAAGGAATGTAGCCTTTCCAAAGAGTAATGCTCAGTGTGAGGTTGGTGGCAGCCGTAGATGGGGCTGCATAGGAGGCTGTATCGTGCAGCACAGGCTGGGGTTACTCAGCAGCGACATCTTGTCATCCCAGGGTACACTTGCTGACGGAAGGGACAGACGGCTCCAGGCCTGCTGCAGGTGGAGAGAAGCTGACGTGGGCGTGAGCCTTCCCTGTGGGACAGAGCTAACGGAAGGGTAATTTTTGGTTCCTTGTCTCTAGGAATTTTTTGAGAACCCTGCTTTTCGTCCTGATGGTTTGAAGCTATACCCTACCCTGGTGATCCGTGGAACCGGGCTGTATGAGCTGTGGAAGTCAGGAAGATACAGGAGCTATTCTCCCAGTGACCTGGTCGAGCTGGTGGCTCGGATCCTCGCCCTCGTGCCCCCATGGACGCGTGTGTACCGAGTGCAGAGGTGCGTGTTACTTTTCAGCCCCCAGATAACGGATACTCTCTAAAGGAGCAGTCTGCTTAGGTAGCGGAGTTTCAGATTCTTTCTTAAATTAGAAGTAGACTATCGGGAATGCCATGTGTATGACTAAGGGGAGCGTGCCCAGGTCTCATGGCCAATGTTGTAGATATTCATCATCCACTAACCATGAGCCAGGAAAGGAAGAACAACTTGAAGGGGTCCCATGGGCAAACTCTAGGACAATTTGAACATCAAAATAAATATATTAAGGGGCTGGGTAAATGGGTCAGTCAGTAAAGTACTTCCATGCAAGCATGAGGACCTGACTGTGATCCCCAGAACCCAGGTAAAGAAAGCCCAGTGTGGTCACACATGCTTGTAATCTCAGCACTGGGGAGAGAGACAGGCAGGCCCTGGAGGCTCAGTGACCAGCCAGCCTAGCTTACTTGGTGAATTCCAGACCACTGGAATTCTTTCTCAAAAGGATGTGGACAGCACCTAAGGAACCACACCAGAGCTTGTTCTCTGGCCTCCATGTACATGCACACGCATGCATGCACAAGCATACACACACACTATAGACATGTAGATGTGTGTGTGTGTGTGTGTTAATAAATTATAACCAAATCAATAAAGTAGGAGTCCTCCGGTCCAACTGCTAATCTTAATTAGGTCAGTAATTTGTGTGCCTCAGAAGCATAATATCAGCAGTCTTCTTTATATGTCGATTCTGTATTTGCAAATTTACCTACTAGAAAATTGTGTGACTCAGACTCTATCCTCGTAACACATTTGCCATAAATCATTCTCAGAAGAGTGAACAATTTGGGTCGCTCATGTACACACTCCTAACTGAGGTCGGAACAGTGCCTCTCTGCCTCTTTGCAGCCTTCACACTGTAAGCAAGTGTTCTTTTTGCACTCAGCTTAATGCTCCATTTTTCAGGGTTTTGTGAGCTAGTGAAGAATTGGCTCTTTAGAATGACCTCCAAACACAGTGCTCATGTGCTGCCTATTGCTCCTAAGTGCTGGAAGGCCCTGAAGTGGCTTATGGAGGGAGTAGGTTGTGCTGGGGAACCTTTATTGAGAAAGCCCAGAGAGAACCATCAGCCAATCAATCAACTACATAGCTTCAATAAGGTGTCTTTAAACAGAAACGCAGAGGGCAGGCGCTTATTTATTGATGGTTGACAAAAAACTCTGGCAGGAGAGGCTCATGGGAACCTAACCCTGTGTGCTCTGTCGGAGCAGTGGGTCTGGTTCACTTCTGCGTGTTGGTGAAAGCCTGAAAGAATGTAATTCCCTACTGACTGCTTACCTACCAAAGAGCTAGAACCGACTAAACGTAGTTGAAGTTCCCCCACAGTATACTTACTACAAAGTGGAAGGGAGAAGCCTGGCCACTGACTGGAGTGAGTGTTATCCAAAACCAGGGAAGTCAGCTGTGTGCCACCCGCTAGGACCGGTTGACACCACAGCATCACCTCAGCCAGTGTCTGTAACTACGTCTAATCAGGAGCCAACATTATACAACCCCAAGTGGACACACACTAGAAAATGACTAGCGCTTCCTCTCTCAAAGTGTCAGGGTCAGGGAGTGAGTTCTGTTTGATAGAGACTGAAGAAATGTGACAGCTAAATACAAGATGGGGACTGGCTGCTTTTGCTGGAAGGACTTGGTTGAGACGCTGCTGGAACAACAGCAGAGTGTCTGTTGGGCAGTTTTGTGGTTGTGATAGAATCTGCTCACATGAGATGTGTGAGTGTCCCGAGTCTTGCCACGTCGTACTCACTTCTTACTCTCTGGTGGGTCAGGACCGTAGTTATTCGAACTTCTGTGACTTAGAGATCGTTTCCCAAGATGTGAATTAGTACCACAGGAGAGAGGAGCACGACAAGAACAGTACAGTAACTGAGGCAAAGGCATGTGAGTCTGACTGGACACCCCAGTCACAGAAGAGGCCAGTCCCACCCGCACCCACCCCGAGAACCAGGGTCTTCTAATAGAAGAGGAAGCCTCCTGTTTCCTTACTGCTGAGTCAGCGGCAGCAGAGACGCGTGTAACATGAGCAGCTTCATTTCAGGGACCTCAGGAAAGAGCGCCATGGACCGTGGCTCTGCCTGCACCAGTTGAGGCAGTAAGGATTTAGGGGTGACAGCAGCCTCCATCTCTTAAGTATCTGAGGGAAAGGGAGCGTGGAGTGTGCAGCCTTGAGGCTTTGGAGGACGCCCTCGGCTTCACAAACATAAGGGATGGCGAGCTCTCCTGAAGGTGTGGAGTCAGGACTGAGTCCAGGGACAGCTGTTGGAAGAGAGCAAGGCTTCAACAGTCCACACCTGGCAAGACACCGCCTCAGTGCCAGCGCGGGCTCAGGTTCCCATGATGTGTGCTGGTAACTCGCCTAACTTTGAAGAGAATCCTTGGCTGGTTTAATTCAGAGACAGTCTTTTTATAATGTTTTCCATTTTATCTTTTAAAATTATGTTTTATTTTGATGGTTTTAAAATATAACTATGGTACTTATTATACAAGTTTTCATCCATAGAGGTTTTGGATACTTATTATACAAGTTTTCATCCATAGAGGTTTTGGATACTTATTATACAAGTTTTCATCCATAGAGGTTTTGGTTTGTATAGCCTACTATGGTCCAGTAAAACACTGCTTTTGGTAAACATGGGGAGAATTTCTTCAAGATATTTTGATTTTATGTTTTTGGTTAGATATTATTGCTGAAATGTTAGTGTGACTATCTGCATGGAAATTCATATTTTTTCTATTTTGCTACTTGGCTTTTATTATCTTTGTGTGTGTGGTATCTACACACAGTTACCACTGTGAGGATATGGAGGTCAGAGGACAGCTTTCAGGAGTCAGTTTGTGTGCGTGCGCGTGTGCGTGTGCGTGTGCGTGTGTGTGTGTGTGTAGAGCTTTCAGGCGTCAGTTCTCCTTCCACCATGGGTTCCAGGAACCGACCTCGAGTCTCAGGCACTCTACCCACTGAACTGCCCTACCGTTCTGCTCTTTGGTTTGTGCCCATGTTTATTTCCAGATCTTCTGTGTACATCTGGCTTTCTGTGTTCTTGAGTTCTGCATTCATGGCCTCAACCAGCCCCAGATAAAAACTTCCCTAGAGAAGCTCCGTGCGCACACAAACACTCTGCTGTTGTTCTCGACAGCAGTGTAGCCGTGACTCCCCAGGACTTCCCATGACACACGATGGGTCATCTGGAGAGCATCGAAAGTATGCATATGGCATCATCTTCATAGAAACAAGAATTCCGTGGTGCCTGCAGGTGACCCTGGAACACTGAGGGGTGCTGTACTGCACTTAAGTCCCTTTGTCCTCAGTAATCCCTGGAAGTTGAGCCTCCACTCGTGCGACCCTGAGGCAGTGTGTAAGGTTGCATACGCTGGTCCACGTTTGTGTAAGGTTGCATATGCTGGTCCACGTTTACACGGCGTGGTTTTCTGTCAGGTCAGTGCTTCGCAACCATGGGATGTAATGCTTTGGCTTCAGCAAGGTATGATATATTAACTTTCCAAATGTATCATGCCTTCATAGCTAGCCACACAGTACTCTGTCCACACGAATACGATAATGGTCTAGAACTTACAATTCCTTCAGCACATGTGTTAACAATGACTTTATACTGTTTATAGAAATGTCTTTGTGTGATGGAAATTCATCTTTACAGAGACTGGTAAATATGACAGTGTTTACATGAAATAAGCCAGATACAGAGAACCAAAGGCCACTTTATCTCACTAGTGTATGGAATCTAAACAAACTGATCCCACACAAGTATGAAGTAGAACCAGGCTGGCTCTCATTAGGTCACCATTCGTCAATTGAAACAAAATTACAGTTAAGTAGGAGGGCGCCCTTCTCTGGTGGTGCAGTAAAGCGAGAGCTGTAAAGTTGCATATGTCAAGGAAATGAGGCTGAAGTATAGCCTGGCCATAGAACATTTGCCCAGCAAGTGAGGCCCAGGGTTCAACCCTAGGCCCACTGTCCCCCTCCCCAAAAGCAAGTCTTTTGAGTGTTCTTGTCACAAAGAATTGATACTGTGGGGGATAGATGTGCTAAATAGTGCGATAAACCTTCTACAATGTATTGATACATCAGAAGCTTACTCTAGGACCTGTTTATGAATAGATATTAAAAGCTTATATTTAAAAGCTTTCAGATAAAAAAAAAAGATTAAGATCCTATTCGGGGCTATAATTTAATGTTAGCATAACAATCCTAGGTCAGTTTGTCTTAAGTTGTAAGTGGTCCTATTACTAGGCAGACATTTAGGTTGCTTTCAGGTTGTCTTAGTTACTTTTCTGTTGCTGTGATTAAAAAACAAACTTAAAGGAAAGAGTCGTGCTTCTAGCCACAGTCTCAGGCTACAGTGACAGGTCAAGAAGGTCATAGCAGGAGGAGTCGGGGCAGCACAGAAGGTGAAGACTCTTCCTGCTCATCTCACTCTCCCCTGCAGTGCAGGATCTCACCCCAGGGAATGGCGCCACCCACAGTGGGCGGGCGGGTATTGCAACCTCAATCTACTAGTCAAGATAATCTCCCACAGGCATTCCCAGAGGCCTGTCTCCCAAATAGTTCTAGACCTCATCAGATTGACAGTTGAGATTAACCATCACTCAGGTCTCTTTTCATCCCCACCCCCCACCCCCGTCTTTGAGACAGGATCTCTCTATGTGCTTCTTAAGGGCTGTGATTAAAGGTATGTCCACCATGCCAGCCTCCTTTATAATCCTGGTCTCTATAGCTCAAATCAGTGTGCACAGAAATTTTCACTTCCGTTATAGTAGTATATATAATCCATGGAAAGAATTGCATATGGTAATGGATCTATGGATTTTTATCATTATTTTAATGCTTTAAGTCTTTTTTTTTTTGGTTTTTCGAGACAGGGTTTCTTTGTGTAGCTTTGCGCCTTTCCTGGAACTCACTTGGTAGTCCAGGCTGGCCTCGAACTCACAGAGATCCGCCTGGCTCTGCCTCCCGAGTGCTGGGATTAAAGGCGTGCGCCACCACCGCCCGGCGCTTTAAGTCTTTTTTGAAAAAAGAGAACTATAATGGGATGGGGTTTGCTTTGTATGTAGATACAATTAACAAGTGTTTCTAAAGAGATTATGCCAATTCATGTAAACCATTCCTTTTTTTCTCATCCTCTATAACACTGCATGCCTATAACTCTTTACATTGAGGGTATGATTTGCATTTCCTGTTAGTGGGGATTAGCACTTGACTTGTGTCTGATTATTCCTTGTGTTCTTTCTTACATGACTTGTTTGTGTCTAATTTACAAGTCATGGGATCCAGAGTACAAAAAAGGGGGGTGCTTTTTATGGAGATAACCCCCCAAAAGGAATTCATAAATGTTAACTCATTTTGAATCCTCTTACCTGGACAAACAGGAAGCTAGGGAACTGACAGATCCTGCCAGACTGGGACACTCGGTCGAGTACCAGAACATCTGACAGCAACACTGCTGGTGTGAATTACATGAGTGTGTTTAAAACCCTGAAGTTTCATTTTAAGGAGTATAAAAATTTATACTCAGACTGAGGTAGAATTTGTTATGTCTGAACCTCAAGAAAGAAACTTGTATCAAGAGCTGGATGATAAAAGTTTAAATGAAAATGTAAATGAGCAGCATAACCTTATTACAAAAGTGCAGAGGAAGGGCTGGAGAGAGGGCTCAGCCATTAAACACAAATACTGCAATTGCAGAGGACCGGAGTTCTGATCCCAGCCTCCACAGTAGGCACCTCACAGCTACCTGTAACTCCATCCAGGGAATCTGACACCCTCTTCTGGACTCTGTGGACACCTGCCCTCGTGTGCACACAGAAACACACACATATACATAGTCAAGTGTATAAAGGTACAGAGGGAAGGCTAGGTGTTCAGCAGTGTTAACTGGCTGAGACAAATGGTATTTCACTCAGCCAGTTCCTTCTAACTTCAATCTTCAAGTTTTAGGCTAGTTCTGCTGCTGGCCCAGGCATGTCTTAAGCACCTTGCTCTAATGTGGAGGCTGGCAGTCAGGCTTGTAGAAAGAAGCCCCTGCTGACCAAGAAAAGCCTCCTCCTGGGGCACGCTGTACCTCCTTTGTTTTTGTTTGAAATCATAGTCACGGGTGTCTTTCTGTTCTGGTCCTTTAGGAACTCAGCCTGTTTCTATGTCACTCCACCTCCTAACATCTTCCACCCACCCCGGTTGGCTAGCAACTGTTAGGCTGTACACGGTGAAAAGAGTTAGAGGCTGTGTTTTAGGCAGGTCTCTGGAGGAGGTAATGCAAGTGAAAGCACCGTATTTCAGGTTTTCCTTCTGCTTGTCTGTCTTACTAATCGATCCCTTGATGTTTCCATTGGTGATTTCCTGTACTCCACCCTCTGCCTGCCTCTTAACTGTCTCATACTTTTAGCTTTCTGACAGTTGAGTCAGGAGCATCTTCCTGGGTGTTTTTATGAAGCACATCCTGCTGGAAGGTTCTGTGTTCTAGCCCCAAGGAATGTAGTCAGTGATTAAGTGTAAGATTCTGTCCAGGCACATGACGGGCTCCGCATTAGAGTGCCGCTGCCCTAGGCTATTTGACAGCTGTCTGCCGTGATACGATAGTAAATCACTGTGCGGCGTCAGCCTAGGAATGCCAGTTTGCAACCGAAGCATGCTTCTGATGCATGAGGAACTTAGAAGACAGAAACAGCTCTAAACATGGCTTGGAAAGGTTTTTGATGAGCAAACTGTAAATATCAGCACATCTAAGCTTGAAATATTACCATGGAGCCAATATTCGCATGTGTAGTCCCTGTTTATGCCAGAGACTAGATTGAATTACTTAGAGAAACCTAAAAGGAATTTTAACTCCTGCCTCGATGAGCCAACAAGGTCAACCACTTAACAGCCTGTCCCAGGATCTTCTCCAGAGCTGTAACCCAGTCTGAGTGTGGAGTTGAGATCCGTCATGCACTGCTCTGCATGGAGAAGATGCTTGGCCAGTGCAAAAGTGTACCCCTCAGTTCCAGTGAAGGATACTGTCTCTAGAGTTGTAGCTGCCACATTTCTGTTCCTTAATGACTGAGCGCTTCCATCTGCTCTGCTCCAGGCATGTCACTACCAAAGACCATTCAAGCCGTGTTTCATTTTTGTAGTGACAGACAGTAAGGTAGGTGGCATTCTAGTAAGGCCCTGTGTTGCCAGGACCTCTCTAGTAGTTGGCATTTATGAGAACATGCAGCCTGTGGGGTCTCCTGGGCCTAGCACCTGGCTTGCTACCCCTGTCACCATCTTGACATTGTTCACAACTTTATAATAAGAGGCTACATGTTCTCACTTTGTGCTAGGTCCTACAGATTATATAGCAGCTTCCTGGTAAATGTGTCGTTGTTATTTTAACCCAAACACACACAAAGCAAGGTTAGCTCGAGTCAGTTGAGCTAGCCCTAGCCCTGCACTTTCTAGGAGCAGTTACTCCAGTTTTCCCTGGTTCGTTGTTCATAGCAGCCTTATCAGACATAATTACCATGAATAACAATGTATTTGTCGTTTACAGTTAGCATGGCCTCTGCTGATCATCTCAGGTTAGTTTCAGACCATGTATAACAAGTGTTTGGAAGTGTATTTCAGGTTTTAAAATATTTAAGCCGGGCGGTGGTGGCGCACGCCTTTAATCCCAGCACTCGGGAGGCAGAGCCAGGCGGATCTCTGTGAGTTCGAGGCCAGCCTGGACTACCAAGTGAGTTCCAGGAGAGGCGCAAAGCTACACAGAGAAACCCTGTCTCGAAAAACGAAAAAAAAAAAAAATATTTAGTATGTTAATATGATGATAGTTATATATTCCATACACTTACAAGTTACTATAAAATATTTCAATGTTAAAGGGGCACTTAGAAGATTTTGTATTTGGCTTGAGAGCTATTTTACTGGCTGGGCGGTGGTGGCGCACGCCTTTAATCCCAGCACTCGGGAGGCAGAGCCAGGCGGATCTCTGTGAGTTCGAGGCCAGCCTGGGCTACAGAACGAGATCCAGGACAGGCACCAAAACTACACAGAGAAACCCTGTCTTGAAAAACCAAAAGAAAAAAGAATTACTTTACTAAAAACTATACATAAACAGTGTATGCTAACTAATTAGTCAAAAACATACAAGAAATTTCTTCTGTCGCTCTCACTTTGGGCCTCCTGCTGTGTTTCTCTGCATAGTATCTTCATGGAACCCTCTGGATTCCAGAGCCTGAGAGATTGTGAAATGTTTCTTTGTGCTCATTGATGGGCTTTCTGGAGCTGGTACAGTACAGCCCCTAACTTCAGCTTCTGCTCAGCGTCCCCTTGATGTCTGGCACTCTGCTATACCAACGCAGAAGAGAAGTCTAATTTCCTCTTCCTTAGGCAAGATGTCATTCCCCTAAAGCAGAGTCCCTTCTGGTTTAGATTTGGGGGAAAACGGGGTAGGGTCTGTGAGAACAGTTATAGAGAGGCTTTTGACCTTCTTGGTGGCTTTCAGCTACTGTGTGGGAAAGTGTTTGCAAAGTGGCATGTGAATCAGAGTTGTCACTTCTCTCCATTGAGTTGAGGATTCTTTCTTTTCATTCTTCTTTCACTTAGTACAGGTGTCTCCTGAGCCCCAGATCCTTCCTAATGGCTCCCAGCCATTGGGGCAGATGCTGTGCTTTGTTTTCTGATGTGATTTCCATTAGATGTCTTTCACAGACACTCCCCCCCAAGAGGTGGGCGGAAGTCAGCTTTGAAGATGGAAAGCTGAGGTGTAGGGATGCTCTCAACCTTGCTCCCTCTCCTCCTTAGGATACTCTGCCTCTGCTTTCTGCTCCATGGCTTTGTGGCTTTTCACTGTTTCTCATTTTTTAAATTTCCTTGCCATACTGCTGTGGAGAATGGTTTACATTTTCCACAACTTTTTTTTTTTTTCTCTTACAGAGACATTCCGATGCCCCTCGTCAGCTCAGGAGTAGAGCATGGCAACCTGCGAGAGCTGGCATTTGCAAGAATGAAAGACCTCGGAATACAGGTTTGAGTAAATGTGGCTGCCAGGTATACTGTAAAGACAAAAGAAATCTCATCACACGTATCTCCAGGGCTGTCACTCTTAGGCATTGCTGGTACCATTTGGGTCAGAAAGCTGATGTATGTTAGAGGTGTTCTGTGTAGCATGTAGAAGCTGAAGTGCATGGGACAAAGGCTGCCGCTGTCCCTTTGTCCCTTCTGACTTCTTCTGTGGCCTGTTGGCTTTATATTTACTAAGCAGCTTCTCTCTCTTGACCCTGACAGAATGAAGGAAGCTGTTAGTTTGATGGTCTCCAGAGGTAGTGGTGAGTTTGAAATGAAGCATCCTAGAAACTTCTTAGGGCTTCTGAAGAAATAAGCCAGGAGGGGTGCCTGGCCAGGGCATCAGGGGTTAGGCTCTGCTGTCGGAATGCAGTGCCATCAGTTGGGAGAGGGTGAGGGGAATCTGTTGACCGTGTGTGTTTAAGCATGGACCATGCTTTCAGAGAGATGGTTCCAAGGCTGGAACAGTACACATATGTAGACTTGCCCATGACTTGCTCAAATTACCGTGGAGGAAAAAATTTAGAACGTTGTCCAAATTTTTGAATATCATTGATTTATTCAACAAAAAATATAATAATTAATTAATTAAATGTAATAGCCAACTTTTCAGTTTTAGAAATAAGCAAATGCATGTAAGCAGATTAGCAGCACCACACAGGACTGTGGGCCTGCTCTGCTCTCCACTCTCCAGCTGGCCTCAGTCTCCCATCTCTGGCCTCCTAAGGACCCGCTTCTAGGGGACCAGCAGGCCTGGCTACTGGCAGTCTCCCTGTCTAGTGGTCTTCTTTAATCCTGCCCCAACCCTTGCTAGCCTCTGCAAAGTGGCCCAGGAGTAAATCCAAAGACCCAAGTCCCGTAGGCAATGTTCTTAGCAGAAAGCACTTATCATCTCTGCCCTATAAAAAACAAACAAAACCATGCCCCAGGCAAAACCAGAAGTAGAAGCAGCAGATACCTGTTGACTGGCAGGTAACTCAGCCACACACAGTCTCCTGTATAGAGCTGGGCTGGAAGACAGAATCTGCTCTCAGTAGATAAGCTGCAGGATCTGGTGGCCACATCAGCAGAGTATCCTTATGGGCAGGTTTCTCAAAGCATCAAAATACCTTTGTTTTTGCAAAACTGAATACTGAGCTCTTATAGATGTATTGTTAGTAAAATTGTTTGCATGATGTCGTCAGATTTTCTAGCATGATCCTGTCTCACTGGTACAACGTATTAGAATACTGAAATTGTATTTATGGTTTATTCTGTAGGGGAAGAATGTGCCGTAGGACATGTCACTGGCTAATGCAAGGATTTTGTACTGCTGTGTCAGGCTGTAAAGCGTGCACACTGGGTTGAGGTGTGGAGTGAGGGCAGTTACAGATCCTGGCCACGCAGAGGAAGCATTGCATTGGCATTGTCTCCTGGAAGCTGTGCATGGCCAGGGATGTCCAAGAGCCATCTGTAGTTGAGGTTCACCTTGTGTCATACATGATTCATGCTCCTTCTGCATCTCTCCTTCCTTCCTGCTCCCCATTCTTCCTCAGTACCTTTCTTTAAAGGGAAACATGCCTTTAATATGTATCCTTTTGATACATCTAAAATGATATGACATTAAAAATATTAATGTCATACACAATGAAAATTTAAGGATTTGTTTTTGTTCTTCTGTGATCATATTTTTTTTTGGTTTTTCGAGACAGGGTTTCTCTGTGTAGCTTTGCGCCTCTCCTGGAACTCACTTGGTAGCCCAGGCTGGCCTCGAACTCACAGAGATCCGCCTGGCTCTGCCTCCTGAGTGCTGGGATTAAAGGCGTGCGCCACCACCGCCCGGCTCTGTGATCATATTTTAGGACGGTATTTTCAATCATATTTTGGGGTTGTGTTTTTCAAACAGTTAAATCTCTTGGGCAAAACTATTTTCTGACTTTCTAACTTAATGTTCTATATTTCCCAAGATAATATATGATCTCTTTGAATTCTGAATTCATTTCAAAAGGAAAACTGTACTTCACAAATTCCCATCCTCAAATTTAGTAAAGATGGCTTTTTTAAGTTTTCATTCTTTTGTTTCAGTGTAAGTTATGTTCAGACTTGATTTTGAGCCCAGGATTTATTTTAAATGAACATTGAATGAATCACTACTTTGATTTTTTTTTTTTTTTCTTTTGACAGTGCCGAGATGTGAGAACCAGGGAGGTTGGAATCCAAGAAATTCATCACAAAGTGCGGCCATACCAGGTCAGTCTCCTTTAAATCCATCCCAGTGTACCCCATCTGCTCACAGAGCAAACCCAGAAATGAGTGAATAACTCAGCAGAGCAGAGAGCATCCAGTCAGGCAAGCCAGGCATGAGAGTCCCTGAGTTATGGAAGGGCCAGGTTAGGAGAGCCAAGGCTGTGCCTTGTTTTTCATCAGTCGGGACTCAGAGCTCCAGTCATTTGAATTGAATGTACTCAAATGTGAGTAGCTGCCCATGACTAGGGGCTGCCTTCCTGTGGAGAGCCTTGCTGGTCTCTTCTTTGTAACTGTCAAGTTCTTGTCCTTTGGCAGTGACTCAGGGAGTAGACGGCAGCAGCTACCTGGCTTCCCCAGACCTTCAGCACAGTTCCCTGAGGCATTCAGGGTAACTTCACTTTCATACATCTATAATGTCTAACTTGGTGCAACATTTTCTATGGGGCACAATTCTTGGTAGCCCCATGTGAGAGAGGCTAGAATAAATGAGCTCTGTAGCAGTGTTTCCGTTCTTAGTATGAACTGTTGTTGACATTAAAGGGCCTTTCAAGGGAAAAAGTAGACCCAACATATCTAATCATTTTGGCAGTTCTTAATCTAATTCTATACCAAACACTAGGCTGAGGGTTGTTGATTTTGCTTTGAGTGTGTCCTCCCCATTTATAGGGTGTGTCTGTTATATCCTTATCCAAATATGTAGAATTCTGAATGTACACCTCTTGCTCCTTAGTGCTCAGAATCATCTGTCCAGCGGGTTGAAGAGTCAGAACCTATGTAGATTTCGACCCCTGAAGTCCCCATGCAGCTGTCATTCACCCTCTTTGAGAAAGTGCAGTTGAACTTTAACATGCTCATCCTCCACTCGGCGTATTTCACAAGCCTTGCGAATGTTATTCTTTCTTAAATCCCATTGAGAAACAAGAAAGGAGGATCCCCACACACATACAAAGTAGACTTTAGTGGAAGAAGTAAGGACTAAACAGGGAAACCATTGACTATCTTGACAGTTTGAAAGCAAGATGGGGAGTGGGAAGCGTTCTGAAAGCCCCACATGTGATTTAATCTGTAGTTTTATCTTAGAGACAATACATAGGACATCATAAATTTACATAGAAGCAGTCACTGAGCTGGATATCTCTGAGAATCTCAAGGTTAATTAAGTTCAAATATTTGTAAAATTGTTCTCCATTTATAATAGTCCATGAACAAGGCATGAACTCTTGTTTAATCCTGTGCTACTTGAGAGGAGGCAAATAAAAACCATAATTAGTGATGATTCATCCTTTGTTCCTAGCTGAACATTAGCCTAAACACATCCATGTACTTATAAAAATGAGCTTGGTTCTCTAATTCTGAATGAGGCTCTTCATGGCTTTTTATCAAACAGGTTGAGTTGGTCCGGAGAGATTATGTTGCCAATGGAGGCTGGGAAACCTTCCTGTCCTACGAAGATCCTGACCAGGATATTCTGATTGGCCTGCTGAGGCTGCGGAAGTGCTCTGAGGAAACCTTCCGATTTGAACTGGGCGGAGGCGTTTCCATAGTCCGGGAGCTCCATGTGTACGGGAGTGTAGTCCCTGTCAGCAGCCGGGACCCCTCTAAATTCCAGCATCAGGTACCCGCATCTTGCCTCCAGTGGGCCTGCAGTTAGGAAATTGCCTGAGACAGGAAGAGACGGTGGGTGAGGAGGGAAGGGGGAAAGAGGGAGGTAGGGTTCATTGTGTTCAGGGCCATTCCATCTCCATGTTGCTCCCTTGTGGTTCCATGGGTGCCGGGAGACAACAGATACACCAGTGTGCCTGCTTAAACAAAACTGTTTCACTTCCTGTGGAATCAAATGAGGTAATGGCAGGAATGTGATTCACAGGTGTAATATGTATAAATCCCTGTTCTAACCTCAACAACCTAAAGTTAGAAATCCGTGGTGTTCAGTTTCAGGAAAATACATTAACAATGGTAATAGTAGGTTTAAGGTAAACCCAATTGGATGATGTAAGAATTTTGCCACATTCCAGACCCTTTAAAAAGTGGAAGGTGAGTTGAATAAATAAGACCTGTTACTCCAGACTCCTAGACCTTACCTAAAGAGAAAGGTGAGGAGGGGAGTCAGCCCTACGCTGACCCGTCACCCAGAATGCCGTAGCTGGCTCTCGTCACGGCGCTGACTTCTTCACGAAGTCGCGGAGCGTGCTTTGGGCAGGGTCCAGGGGTTTCCTTTTCCTTAACCATCAATAGCTTTTTATCACCTTTTAAGACATTGTACCAACCTCTCTTAATGGTCTTCCTTCCCTTCTTAATCCACGAACTCCTTGGTGCTCCTTCTAGGGCTTCGGCATGCTGCTGATGGAAGAAGCGGAAAGAATAGCTCTGGAAGAGCATGGATCTGGGAAAATCGCCGTTATATCAGGTGACTGGGGAGGAGTTCACAATTCACACTTGACACCACAGTGAGGTTCACTCTCGCCTCTGTATAGTTACTCTGTTCAGAACTGGTCTGGGCTGACAAGTGAAGGGCTCATGCTCAAAGCTGCAGGAAGTTTCTGAGCATTTGGGTCAGCTTGAGCTTCTAGAGGCACCCTGCTGTCCAGCAGCAGGCCAGTAACCTGTGCGCATTCCCTGCTTGTCTGACCTCTGGTCACTGTGGTCAGCGTCTCTCTTGTGCTTTATGCCAGCTGCTCTGTCTGTGGAAGTGGAGTTTGGTAGTCTGGCCTAAGGAAATGTCAGCAGTGCAGACCTGAGATGTTGCTGCAGGATGATTGAAGGCAGCGTGTAGTTCTTGCCCCTTCCAGGATGCTGCTGTGGTCTTTGCTCCTGAGTGACAGCGTTTCCATTTGGAAGTAGGAGGGAGGAAGAAATTTTCCTCTGCCCTCTTAGGGTCCCAGGCCAGATCCAAAAATTAAATGAGCGACGACAAATTAACAGGAGGAACATGTACAAATTAACATAAAATGAGTAAGACCCAGGAGCCTTCAGAGGAAATGAAGCCTGGGAGATGCATGGGAACCTGCGTGTTTTAAAACTAAGTTGATGAAGGGTGGAGAGTCATGGGAAAACAGGATAGGAGGAGGGATATGGGCAGACCGAGAGTAATTCACCTGGGGGACTTAGCAAGGCCTGTTGGTTCCTCTTGGTACCTCTCCATCCTTAGAGGTAAGGATGTTCTCCCCTTCAGGATGGGCTGGAGGAGTCTTCGGGAAGGTCGGGCAGGGGAAGGTCTGAGCTCTTCCTGAACCTGCTGTGTTCTCAGTTCCTCCAGCCTTTGCCAAGGCATCTGCGTGGACTTGTGTATCTGAATCCTGTAAGAGCCACCCTCCACCCCCACTGCTGAGCAAGACATCTTATAGTTGGGGAGGGAACATGAAAGGAGACTGGTGGGGGGAGCAGGAAATGATGGACAACCCCTTTACTCTCCCTCCTCGGTGTGGTGTCCCTGTAAGAAAAACCTAATGACTAGTAAGGAGTCCAAGGTGGCGAAAGGCAGAATCAGAATTTGTGTTGTATTTGCCCCCGGAATGCATTTTGTTTCCCTGTTTGACTACCGCATTCCAAAAGCTCGCCTGTGACCTGAGAAATACTTTTCTCTGAAAATTAAAGCTGAAATGAGGGTTTTTTTTGTTTTTGTTTTTGTTTTTTTTTGTTTTTCGAGACAGGGTTTCTCTGTGTAGTTTTGCGCCTCTCCTGGAATTCACTTGATCCAGGCTGGCCTCGAACTCACAGAGATCCGCCTGGCTCTGCCTCCCAAGTGCTGGGATGAAAGGCGTGCGCCACCATCGATGAGGTTTTTAAAAGAAAAATCAATAAGAAGTTGCCAGTCAATAAATCAGTACTGGTACCCAGGTCTTCGTGATCATAATTATAGAAATATGATCACACAGGTTCACTTAATCATTTAGTCTGGCTTGGGTTTTTGATGTTACCCAGATACATAATGTATTTCTTAGCATATCTAGCTTTTTCTATTTTTCTCCATTACTTTAATCCCACAAAGAAGTACCTGGCTGAGGCTACCTGACTGTCACTGATGAGTAATAGAAAGTGATTCCCTCTCCCGGCTTACCCTGTACTTGGCCAGGAGTACCAGGAAAGGGCAGCCTGCCTCAGAATGCCTTCTGCCTGTGCATCTGGGCGGGGCTGGCAACACCGGAGCCTCAGGTTGTCGTGGGCTTCGAGATCACCCAGAGAGCTGCCTAAAGTCATTTCAGTACATTCTGTTCTAGTTGGGGGCTGAGAGCCCACAACTGCTCACCAGCCAGTGGCTGCCTCAGATTATCTCCAGACCACATCAGAGGCTAGACTTTAGTATTCTCCCAACACTATGCTCTCTTCCCAGTTGTTAAGTTGACCCTGTCTGACCTGCAGCCCTACACTCCGGGATGGCTTTGAGACACGTGCTTTTTCTGGTGTTTGGGACCCTATCAGGTTTCCATTCTCCATCACTGCCTTCCTGCCACCCCTTTTCCCTCAGAAGTATCCACCCAGGGCCCCTGACATGCCTGAGGTCAAGTCCAATTGCACATAAGAGCCTCTGTCTGTTTTTTCTGAGCAGGGTGTCTTTCTGAGTGGGAGTCAGCATCTGTCCTCACCAGCTTTTTATCATACTCTAAATAATAACTCAATTTCATGTCTTCTGCATGGCGAATTTCTAAAATAACAAGAAGCCGCTTGCTTAGAGAAGCAGGCAAGAGAACAACCTTTGTCCGCTGCAGTGCTGGGTATCCTCCCCGGCACCCTGCAGAGGGTTCTTCAGCCAGAATGGGTTTCTATAGGAACAGCCCTGGAAGGGCTTCCTGGAACTAAAGTGAGTTCTTTGGGAGAAAGGTTGGTGAGCACTGATTCCTGCCCTCTGGCCTGGGAGCCCCACCATTGTAGTGAGGAAAACCACATATGACCTCCTTGACTTCCTGTTTAACTCTGACCAGCCTTCACAAGGAGACACTGAACGCATTTGCTATGTGGCAGGTGCCTTTTATTGCTCTTACTTAGCAGTCTATCATGGGTCTGAGAGATCTTAGTACATAACTTAGGGAAGGTAGCTAGCAAGTGTTTATTACTGTGCCGTGTGTTGATGTTAGTTTTTCCTTCAATTTTTTGTAAATGGGGTGGTGATGGTGTGTGTGTGTATGCTCACATGTATTTTTTTAGTTTATTTTTATTTCATGTGCATTGGTATTTTTTGCCTGCATATATGTTTTTGTGATGATGTCAGGTCCCCTGGAACTAGAGTTACAGAAATGTGAGCTGTCATGTGGGTGCTGGGAATTGAACCTGGGTCCTCTGGAAGAGCAGCCAGTGCTCGTAACTGCTGAGCGATCTTTCCCATCTCTCCAGCCCCACATGTATATTTTAACTGGTATTTTTTAAAAAAAGTCGTATAGTTGCTCTCTGTACATTGATCCTTAAACAAAATTCTAATGATGCACAATACTGCTGTTTGTGGGGTGCATGTCATGAATGGCACTATTATATGTGGCATAGAAAATATATGGCTGGTAAGGAGTTTGCAGGGAGCCAAGGCTCCATTCCTGCCTTGCCAACCACTCTCCTTGTGATCTAATGAATTTCATGTTCTTTATTAAAATCAGGTCCATCAGGTTATCTTTGACCGTTATAGTCTGGTGTCTTAGTTAGGGTTCTGTTGCTGTGAACCATGACCACAGCAACTCTTATAAAGGAAAACATTTCACTGGGGCTGGCTTACAGTACAGAGGCTTAGTCCATTATCATCATGGCAGAAAGTATGGCAGTGTGCAGGAAAACATGGTTCTGGAGAGGGAGCTGAGAGTTCTACGTCTTGATCCACAGGCAGCAGGACAACTTTGTGCCACACTGGGCATAGCTTGAATATATGAGACTTCATAGCCAGCACCCACAGTGACACACTTCCTCCAACAAGGCCACACCGCCTATTAGTGCCACTGCCCATGGGCTAAGCATTTAAACACAAGTCTATGGGAGCCATTCCTGTTCAAACCACCACATCTGGCCTCTTGGTTCTCAGCGGGACCACTTGGGTTTTACTGATTACACTTCCCCAGCCCCTTTTCTGACACCATAGATGACCCTTTAATTTCTTCGGGAATGGATTCCATTCTCGTTCTCAGCTGGTATTTGGTGATGAGATTGGTGGTGCTCAAGTCCCCTAGGCAGTTGATCCCAGCCGTGGGTCGTGGGTACATGACACGGGTCACCACTGGACTACTGTTTTCTCAGACGATGTTCTCAGCTCGTAACTCTGCTCTCTCTCCGTCCCTGGCTTTCTTCTAAGTCCCACACGTGACGGCACAGCTGTTCTGTCTTCACGTGATTCGTGAGGAGAAGTGAGGGAGGATCGGTTCTCATTTCCTTGCCCTGGCTATAAGAGTAACGCGTGTATGTAGAACTCTGATTCGTTGTGACTTCCCTTCATCTTGGCAGGGGTTTTCTTTGTTACTTCGACGTATGATCCGGTGCTCTACCTCTGGACAGTACTAGTAACTTCACTGTAGGTCTGACTTGAGCCACTAGTAGAAAGGTTCTGTAGAGTCTCGTTTTCCCTATTTATAAACATTGTTTCTATCCGTGTATTTATTGAAAACTGTACACTGTGTGCTTGGTGAATATAGCTACATGAGAAAAATTAAAAACTGCTTTAAGCAATTAGTCAGATGAATTACTTTCTAAGAGGCATTCAAGTTCACTCACTTTTTTAAAGTACAAGTTAACTGTCAACTTTAACTGTGAAAACTATTTAAAAACCAAAAATGAAATATTTAGCTTCATCACCATCAAAATCATTAGGTGTGTTGAGGGGAAAACTAAAAGTATCTATAATCCCAATACTTGAGAGTCTGAGACAGGAGGATTGCCATGAGTTCAAGGCCATCATGGGCTACAGAGTGAGACTCTTATCTCAGAAGGAGAGGTGTAATGTTGAGTTGCCTGCCTTCTGGGAACTGGGTCTCCACCATTGTCCCATCTTTAGGGTAGGATGAGACGACCGCTCCTTAGGCTCCAGATCATCTCTCCACTAGGACTGGCTGCTGCTTTCTGCTTCGAAAAACATGGGCCAATCAGGGTTCTAAAGACAGCTAGTTTAGCCGGGCGGTGGAGGCGCACGACTCTAATCACAGCACCTGGGAGGCAGAGGCAGGCAGATCTCTCTCTGTGAGTTCTAGGCCAGCCTGGTCTACAAGGTGAGTTCTGTTAAACAGAGAAAGCCTGTCTCAAAAAAATGATGATAGGTAGGAACTATCAGTTAGCTGTTGCTCAGTTGCAAAGCAGTTAGTCCCAGTTGTGTTCAAGGGTCTTGGTTCAAAGGTCTTTGGTGTCTGAGCAATTGACTTAAACGGCTTCTATGTGTGCCCAGCTAGTTAAGATGAACAAATTGTATTTACTTAAAAAACGTGGTGTTTGCCTCTATGGTGATCA